GTATGATTTAAAGAAACAGGTACAGCATTGTTACATGATTTATATATTGCCAACCCAACCGTTAGATTATATTCCTAACGTATCATTCCAATAGCAATAGCACTTAGACTTATATTTGGCTTTACAGTACAGAATTAACTTTTAATGGGGCTGTTGTGGCCTGGTAGAGTACTTCGAAGTGGATTCACATTTTATTACATCCGAGTTCTTCAGAGCAACTTCCTCAGAGTTTAATTTTGGTCATGATACCTCCAAGAGGCAGATGAGGTTGCAAAATACTTCAAAGTGGGCTGTATGCCTTTGACTCCAAAGCCTGAAAATGTTTTGCCAAGTGCTGCATGTGGGGTGAAACAACAGGAAACCCTGGATGCACCTGATAAGATAGCACTTAGCACTTAGACTTATATTTGGCTTTACAGTACAGAATTAACTTTTAATGGGGCTGTTGTGGCCTGGTAGAGTACTTCAAAGTGGATTCACATTTTATTACATCTGAGTTCTTCAGAGCAACTTCCTTAGGGTTTAATTTTAGTCATGATGAGGTTGCAAAATACTTCAAAGTGGGCTCTATGCCTTTGACTCCAAAGCCTGAAAATGTTTTGCCAAGTGCTGCATGTGGGGTGAAACAACAGGAAACCCTGGATGCACCTGATAAGATAGCACTTAGCACTTAGACTTATATACCGCTTCATAGTGCTTTTACAGCCCTCTCTAAGCAGTTTACAGAGTCAGCCTACTGCCCCCGAACAATCCTCATTTTACTGACCTTGGAAGGATGGAAGGCTGAGTCAACCATGAGCCTGGTGAGATTTGAACTGACGAACTGCAGCTAGCAGTCAGCTGAAGTAGCTTGCACTGCTGCACTCTTAACCACTGCGCTATCTCGGCTCATGGGTTGGGATGGAATTTCTATCCTGATGTAAGGCAGCCTCTATGGATTTGTGAGTGTGCAGATCTCTGCCATGAATCCAAAGCATGGCTGTTATATATGCCATCTTCTGTATAGCTAAAAAAAGGTGGTTTAGATGTTCTAGATAGGAAGGGAAGAACCAAAGAGCAACTGATTTCCTTGTAAGGTTGGGAAAAGAGCTTTGTTGTTCACCTCTTGCTATTCAGATGCAACTAGGTAGATGCTGCTAGTGGTTATAAGACCAGAATGTTTATTTTACTTCAATCTTATTTGTTCTTGTGATTACCAAAGCACTTTCTTTGTTTGGACTCAGCGATAGCGTCTGTAAAGAAACACAGTATACGCATCCTTAATTTTTTTATGCTTGCAGAGGAAGCCCAAAAAGTGGCAGAGAAAAAGTTAATTTGTTCAAATGCTGAAACCGGCTTGTAAAAACCTGTTGTGGGGCATCTTTCTTCAAGTCTCATCTGCCCATTAGAACTGCGGCTGGTAGAGCTTTGAAATTGTCTCTATTTATCAAATTAAACAGTACCCCACCCATCTTACAAACAAGTGATTCCAAAAGACGTACAGCAAAGCTAAAAATTAATGTAGTGACCAATGCAGATTGTGGAGCAGAGGTGCAATATGTATTCTAGGAACACACGTAACTTAGACTTAGTATAACTTTATTGTCACTTTGAAGGTACACAAATCGGCATGCATTAAAATGAAATTTCGTTGCATACAGTTCCCAAAGGGTCACCACCTTCAATCTATCTATATAAAAATGGCTGTGTGTGTGTATGTTCTAGCATAACCCTGGATCGCAATTTCAACCAAACTTGGTACACAGATAACTTACTCTCTGGAGAAAAATATTGTGGGGATAAGACACCCCTAACACCCCTCGGGGGTGTGTGTGTTCTGTTAAGATGCAGCCTGTTGTGCCTTTAAATGGCTTCTACTATACTGCTGTAAACTGGCTTCTACTGTACAGCACAGTGGCCATGGTAATGGCTTCACAGTACTCCACAAGGGGGCTCCCTCTAAGGGGGAAATCCAACAGTAGAAATTATGTTTAGTCCAGACATTTTCTCCCTATAAATAAATACCCAGGCAATGCTGGGTTATCGGCTAGTATACAATTAAAAACATGATGAATAAATAAATAAATATGCATATAGCCACATACCCTGCACATATTATTCTATGACACAGAGAAACAACACAGTCTAATTTGGATGGATACATGTACATGGCGAGAAAAACGAATCTTGCGAGTTTGCTAGGCGAATGGCATAGGGAACAAAGCTGTTACAGAATCTGCAATCACCTACAATGCTGCTCCCTATATCAGATGAAGCTTCCAGATACTCTTCAAGGGCAGCCCCATGTGCAGTGCATTACAATAATCCAAGTGGACTGCTGCTGCTGCTGCTGCTGCTGGTGTAAATTTAGTTACACTGCAAGTACATCATACCAGTCTTGCCGTTGGAGAAGTCTGACTCCAGTCCTAAAGGGAATGCACTAATTTTTTGGGTCTTCCAAGTAACGGCCAGACACTACAGCGGAGAGAGTTGCACAGGATTCTTTTGAGAGTGTCAGGATAGAATTTGGGTGTTTCTGCACAGCCCCATCCAGAAGCATTTCTCAGCCCGAGGAAGAGGGAGAGAAGAGAGCGCAAGGGAGCCGATTCAGAAGGGAAGAACCATAGCTCAAAAGAGCAGACACGAGAAGAGGGGATTGTCCCTTCCTTTGTTTTTTAGGTTGCCTTTCTGTGATTTCTCCTAGGCCTCCCTGAAATTGGCACAGAAGGGGAGGGTGAAGCCGTTGAGGAAGATGCCACTGAGCCATTAATTAGCAGCCACGAGAATGAAGATTTCGATGAGCAGAATCACACCATTCAGGCATCAAACCGAAGCAGTGGTACAAATGCTCCATCCCAGGCCATTGGATTTTTTCAGGCGTGCTGTCTGCCTGGCGTCTTATTGGTAAGGGTGTTCTTATCATCCCCTTCCAGTGATTGATAGATAGATAGATAGATAGATAGATAGATAGATAGATAGATAGATAGATAGATAGATAGATAGATAGAACTAAGAAACAAGATCACATGATATCTATGGGCACAAGTATTTTTAAGGATACTGTCTTGGTGCCCGCCCCCCAAATCTCCTTTCCCCCCTCTGGTATTTTTAGTCAAGAAAGTTTTACTTAAATAAAAATGGAAGCTAGCATGCTGCAAAGCTTTGTTTTTATTTCTAGGAATATCTTTAGTGCCCACATGGGGCAAGAGGAAATAGAAGAAAAGGAACAGTGGACAGCTGCACACCAATTCTTAGCTTAGCAATATACCAACCTGCCCCCCGCCAAAAAAGAGAGGCAGAAGTAAGTGAAGTGATAGACAACATCTTGGGGTGGTGAGGAGCAAACTAATTAAGTTTCCTTCCTTGTCATTGTGTGGTTTCTGACTGGCATTACCCTTGAGAATTCCGTTACATACTGTCGACTTCCAAAAGTGTCCATCTGCCCCATGGGTGAAATCCACTTACCTTTGCTATCGGTTCAATAGCAATGTGAGCTCACGGGCGGGTGGGTGGAGCCTGCTATTGCAGCGAACCGTGAGGGGAGGGGAATCCGCTGTGCCACATGATTTAGATTATCTAGAAAGCAGGAGATCCTGCTTTCTAGCTAATATAAATCGTGCATCACGGCTGATAGTCGGAAAAACTGATGCGCCCGAACCAGTAGCATTTTTTTTACTACCAGTTCGGGGGAACAGCTAGCATTTTTACTACCGGTTCGGGCAAACCGGCCCAAACCGGTAGCATTTCACCCCTGACCTGCCCCTAAAGTCTACCTCATCCAGTATTTCTAAATCTTGGCAATTGTAAGATGTGTGGGTCTCTAATTCCCGGAATTCCCCAGCCAGAACTCTGGGGAGTTCTCCACCTATCTTAAAGTTGCTGAGATTGAGACTCACTGACTAAGTCAATATTAAATAATGCTGCGTAGACCTTGTGGGAAGAGACAGCATCACTCATTCTGCGTTTTTAAGAAAGCCAGGTAGCGCTTCCCATTGTTTGTTTCTCTCATACTGGTGCATTGAGTTAGACTGACAGGCGGTAACTGATTCCAGTTCATCCAACCCGTTTTCTAATGGATCAGGTTCAGATTTTTCTATTCAAGATCTGACAGTCTATGTCAGGCATTCCTTGAATAGAAAAAAATGAACCCGATTCACTTTTAAGTTAGCCAACCTTGGCAATAAATACATAAATCAAGAGGGCCACTTCCAGAAGCTGAATTCTAGAAATTACAGAGATCCAGCAAAATGACAGAAGGAATTTCAACTAAAGCTTATGATGCTTCAAAATCCTAATTATCCTAACAACTGAACAGTAACAATATCACTACTCTCACTTGTGCCCATCCTACAGCTTTAATAAAGGTATATCTGGCTGGGGAATTCTGGGAGTTGAAGTCCACAAACCTTGCCAAGGTTGGACACCCCTGCTCTATAGAATTGCAAAGCCATGCTAGCTCAGCTAGGGTTGTTTTGATTCTAACAGATTTTCTTTTGGGATGGTATTTATTTGTTTCAGTATTCCTTGGCCTATGCTTGCCTGAAGCTAGTGAACTACTCCTTCTTCTTCTGGCTGCCTTTCTACCTCAGCAACAATTTTGGTTGGAAGGAGGCAGAAGCCGACCAGCTCTCAATCTGGTATGATGTTGGAGGCATTATAGGTATGACTATGAAGCAAAAGACAAATTCTTTTTGTTGTTATATTTCATTTTCAGTTCATTGTGGGATTAGAAGAGGACGTGGCAGGATGTGGGTGAGAATTCTAGTTTCTAGAAACTAAGTAGACACCGCTTGTCTACCAATTAGTGACTGACAGGCAAAATGATGATGGATGTAGTAGGAGGATGTCAAATGTATTTATTTATTAGAGTTTATCCTGCCTTTATTATTTTATAAGTAACTCAAAACAGTGAACTTACATAATACTTCTTCCTCACACCCACAACAACAATTCTATAAGGTGGGTGGGCTGAGAGAGAGTGACTAGCCCCAAGCCGCTTAGCTGGTTTTTATGCCTAAGGCGGGACTAGAATTCACAGTCTCCTGGTGATTGGTCCAAAGTCCTTCTAGTGGGCTTTCATGCCTAAGGCGGGACTAGAACTCACCATCTCCTGATGATTGGTCCAAAGTCCTTCCAGTGGGTTTTCATGCCTAAGGCGGGACTAGAACTCACCATCTCCTGATGATTGGTCCAAAGTCCTTCCAGTGGGCTTTCATGCCTAAGGCGGGACTAGAACTCACCATCTCCTGATGATTGGTCCAAAGTCCTT